AAAACACAAAACTTTCAACCAAAGCAAGGCATAATTCGAGATTCCTAACAATGACTCCTTCCTACGACACTTTGAATCAAAAGCTCACCAAAGTTCAATCACAATCAAGATAAAGCAAGCAACTTCATCATTAAACATCAATCATCTTTCATCATCATGATTCATCGAAGCATTTATCTCAACACAATTTTTTTTTTCTCAAAAGCAATAAATAAACCAAAACAACTAAACATAAAAAAAAATCTAAGGCATGCAAACTAAAAAAATTAAAGCACATAAAAGCAAGTAATTATTTACCCCCAAACTTAAAATTTACATTGCCCTAAATGTAATTAGCACGAAGTTCAAGTATAGAAAACACCTGACTAGTCGACATGGCCATCTCCGGGCTGTTGAAATTTTCGCCTTTTATTGTGCTTCTGTTGAGTTTCGCACGGCTGTATGAGATTTTGAACTGTTTTCCGCACGGCCGTGCGAATTGCCAAAATTGGGCAGTAGCTGTCTGTTTCTCGCACGGCCGTGTGAGATTATAGTGTTTTTCTCGCGCGGCCGCGCCCTAAGCCAAAATCGGACAGTAGCTTCCCCGAGTTTCCACACGGCCGTGTGAAATTTAGCCTTGTTTTGGGACGGCCGTATGAACTCCAGAGCTGCAATTTCTTGACCTGAAAATTAAAAATATGCTTAAATCGTTAGCTTGCATGCTTATAAAATAAATAAATAAAATAAAACAAGAAAAATAAATAAAGAAACCGAAAATCTCGGGTTGCCTCCCGAGAAGCGCTAAGTTTATAGTCTTCAGCCAGACTTTGTTCCCGCTCTTCAATTCCTTAGCTTTTGAACCCATCTCCTTACTTCCTTTTGGAGAAAGTCTTGAATAAATGGGTTGATCCGATTCTTCTTTCGACTGATTCGGTTAGGAATGCCCTTGAATTTATTCTTCTTGAATTCATGAGGCTTGCCAACATCGTCTTTAAAATCCCAATTATTTTGACTATCTCTCGGAAGAGTTGAAATTGAGTTCATAGAATAAACTTGCTCCTTCCGACTCCCGTTTCCGCCATCATCTCCTGCACTCAAAGATGCTTTCCCATGGTCCAAGATCAAAACATCAAAATGTTCATGATTCGTAAAATCCATAAGATCAATAGCAAAACAATCATTATTATCACATGGATTTTTATTAGCACTAAAAACATTAAATTTGATCGTTTGATCATGCACCGTCATTGTAAGATCACCACTAGCACAATCAATTAGAGTTTTCACGTGGCTAAAAACGGTCTCCCTAAAATAAGAGGTATCTCCCTATCTTCATCTATATCAAGTATAACGAAATCAATAGGGAAGATAAATTTGTTCACTTTTACTAGCACATTCTCTAAAATACCTTTTGGGTAAACTAAAGACCTATCGGCTAATTGAAGAGTTATAGCCGTTGGTTCAATCTCACCTAACCCAAGATTTTCAAAAGTGGAATAAGGCATAAGATTAATGCTAGCGCCTAAATCAATGAGCGATCTAAAATTCTTACCTCCTATAGTACAAGGGATAGTGAACTTACCTGGATCGCCGAGTTTTTGTGGAAGGGGCCGTGTAAGAATTGCACTGCATTGCTCCATGAGTTGGATCATTTCGTTCCCTTGCAATTTCTTCCTCTTTGTCACGAGATCCTTGAGGAATTTCACCCACTTTGGCATCTTTTGAAGGGCTTCGATAAAAGGGATATTTATGTGAATCTCCTTCAACTTGTCTAAAAACCCTTGGTATTCGGCATCGAGCTTCTTCTTTAGAAATGTTTGAGGGTATGGAATTGGAGGGGCTCGTGGATTCACTGTTGATGATAGTGGTTCTTCGTGAGTAGCTTCTTTTTCCCCAATCACTCTCGGCTTCTCGATCACCGTGTTTCGCTTCTCTTTTCATGGGGCTTCCTCCAATTGTCTCCCATTCCTTAAACTTACAGCGTTGCACTGCTCGATGTTGCTCTTCCGAGGATCTTCCGTATTCGATGGCAGTGCTCCCGATGGCCTCGCGTTTAGCTGGGTTGCAAGTTGACCCATCTGTGTCTCCAAATTTCGTATGGAGGCTTGAGTGGATGTCATAAATTGAGCTAAGATGTTCGCGAGATCTCCACCTTGAGGTGGAGCTTGAGGCGGATTTTGGAATTCGGGAGCTGGCCGTGAATAACTAGGCGGTTGACCTTGAGGTGGTGCTTGCCTTTGTCCTTGCTGATTTCCTCCCCATCGAAAGTTGGGGTGATCTTTCCATCCCGGATTATAGGTGTTGGAGTACGGGTTCCTCTGTTTTCGGTTGGTCTCATTCAGGTAATTTAGAGAATCCGTTTCTTCTACGCACTAGTCGGGACTTTGGACGGCATGGACTTGCTGAGTTTGCAAAGTTGCTTCTTGCTTTGATAGCTTCTCTAACTGGGCAGTGATTGCGGTGACCCCGTCTAACTCCAAAATTCCTCCCGTCTTTATTACTCCGCTATTTGATCGGTCCGATGCCCGCATGTATTTGTTCCTTGCGATTCGCTCCAAAAGTTCGTAAGCTTCGTCATAGGTCAAGCTCATGAACATACCGCCAGCTGCTGAATCGAGCACTGTTCTCGAATTATCTTGCAATCCATCATAAAATATTTGAAGTTGCCGCCACTCTTGAAGTCCATGATTCGGGCATCTCCGAATTAATTGTTTGAACCGCTCCCACGTCTCGAATAGTGCTTCACCGGCTTCTTGTATGAAATTTTGTATTTCTCTCCGCATTCTTTCAGTTTTTGTTGGGGAGTTATATGTGTTCATGAAGAGTTGTGCTAGCTGGGGCCAAGACGAGATGGAGTGCGGTGCACGAGTTTGTAACCATTCTCGGGCTGCTCCTTGTAAAGAGTGCTTGAACAGACGGAGTTGCAGTGCTTCAGGTGATACTCCGTTCATCTTATGCGAATCACAAGTTTCGAGAAAGTTGACCAAGTGAAGATGTGGATCTTCATGAGCTAATCCGCTGAACAACCCATTGTTTTGGAGCATCGTAAGGAGTCCCGCTCGAATTTCGAAATTGTTGGCTTCAATGGGGGGCTGCTGGATGCTTGATTGAAACCCATTGAGTGTTGGAACGGTGTACTCATGCAATGCTCGTTGACGAGGTGGTGGATTAATTAGCTGCAATTGCTCTTGCTCGTTGACGATATTTCCTACCGCATTCGGTAGGCGCCCTTGGTCATCTCCCCTACGATTATTCTCTTCTTCCATTGTCGCATAAAAAGTACCTAAAACAAATAAAATAATTAAATAAAATAAATAAAACGGATGAAGTAAGAAAAATTGCTCAAATTTAATATTAGGATAAATAGATAACTTAGCCGTATTCCCCGGCAACGGCGCCAAAAACTTGTTGGGTGCTAAATACCTAACACGCAAGTGCACGTATCGCAAACAAGTAGTAAAAGTGGACTCGTGAGATTCGGATGTTGATCCCACAGGGAATACTCAAATTATCTAATCCTAAATACCAAATTCTAACAATTATGATTTTTATCCAGCCTACGCAAAGTTGTCAAATTTAATCAACTAAATAATTAAACTAATTATGAAAGCAATTAAACACGAGAAAATATCAATAAAAACGGACCAAGGATTTTATCTTCCCCCTATGCAAGAATTGCTCAACCAAAACCCCTCAATTATGAAATATATGATTCATGATTATTAACCCGAGACACTAATTTACTCATAACCCGCTGTCGCGTGTATTATGAGTCTATTATTCATAAACGGTTCACTATATGTCTATGCAAACAAATTATGAATAAAGCATTAACTAACAAGTCTCGTAAATGGCTACCTAATGTGATATCTGTATGTCTACGACACCACATGCAATTGACACACTCATCCGGTGAAAACTACTCGAAGGTTCTTATACTTACCATCTAATTATCAAAATAGCTCTGTCGAGTCAATCCCAATAATCACAGATAAAGCACATAAATTGATCAGGTTCATGCACTAACAATCATAACAAGTAGAAGAAATAATCATAAAATCATAATTGCATAATCTCAAGAAAACGGGTTCACCATCCCCACATAGGGTTCCAACAAAATCCTAGATTAAAACTTAGCTACTCATGTTCTCTACGAAAAACATAATAAAAATATAAAAAGAAATAGATTAAGAAAAGATAGATGAAAGAGAAATTGCGATGAAGATTTGTCAATTCTCCTTCTTCGTTTCTTCGTTCTCTCGCTCCTCTTCCTCTAAGATTGTGTCAAAAGTCCTTTAATTCGTGCTTGGTTTGCCCTTAAATAGATGTCCCAACTTGGTAGATGATTATAGGTTTCCTTGTGTGATTAAAAGTCCAAAATTGTCTCCAGCGTGTTTTGGCGCGGCCACGCGAGAATCAGTGCAATTCTCACACGGCCGCGCGAAAATCGCCGAAACCTTCTGCCCAACTTCTGCAGTTGGCACGGCCATGCCAAAATTAGGCTAAAATTGGCACGGCCGCGCATGCCACTTTTCAGCCAATTTTCAGCATCTTTTGTTTTCTTCCGTTTTTGCCCGTTTTTGACCTTTTTTTGGCTCGTTTCGTCCTTGGAACTCCCAAATCGTCAAGTTGTACCTAAAATACAATAAACCACTCATTAAACATCATAAAATCAATAAATGTATACAAAAATTCTCGTAAGAAAGTATACATTGAGTGTCAAATACATACTCAACAGCCGTCGTCAACAATATAACCCTAGCACCGCCCTTGATGAGAGGATTCTATAGGGGAGAAGATTACCCCCAACTTCCGCTGTCGTGGAGGAAAAAAAATCGCAAAAAGAAAATGAGTGAGAGAGAGAGCGAATGTGTGGTAGGTTAAAACATGGAGGAAAAAAAATTGACAGAGAAAAATACACGTGGAGGAGAAATGAAGAGAGAGATTGTGTGGGAGGTTAAAAAATTGAGAAGGGTATTACTGCAAATTTTTATTATTTATGCTTGATTAAAACAAGGAGCTCAATTTTGCTCAAGAAATGCCTTCAAATTATTAGAAGAACTCCCATTCTCATCCATAGCTTCCCTCGCCAAACACTTCCATTCCCGAGCATTCACTCTCAACTCCCGACTCTTACCGCCACCATCCATCACTTCCTCAATGCACCTCTTTATCTCACCACTCTCGACCACCCCATCTCCACCAAGTCCTCTCACTCTAACCCCACTCTTCCACACATCTTCTATCAACTTCGCATTCGTCCCTTGATCGGTCCACTGAGGAAAAGCCACCACCGGAACTCCACTAGACAAGCTCTCCAGAGTCGAATTCCACCCGCAGTGCGACACAAAGCAACCTATTGAAGGGTGCGTTAGTACCTCGAGCTGCGAGCACCAAGGTACAATCTTTCCTATCTTTTCGAGCTCATCTAAACAACTCAATTTCTCCTTCTCCTCTTCATTCTTTTTATCCTCGTTTATTCGTATAACCCATAGAAACGGCCTGTCGGATTCTAAGAGCCCTTTCGCTATCTCCTCCATTTGCGCTTTCGGTAGCTTGAGAATGCTGCCGAAAGACACGTAAACAACCGACGATTCCGGCTTGGAGTTGAGCCATAATTCTACGTTGTTGTCATCGGATTTTTCGAAAAGATCGCCGCCGAATGACTTGTCGGAAGGGGCGGAAGGAATCAACGGCCCCACTCCGATTAGCTCGTACTTGTCGATGGATTTGAGCGCGTGGGGCTCCAGCACGTCGAATGTGTTGACCATGACTTTGGGTTTCATTTTTTCGGCGTCTAGTGTTTCGAGCTGCTCCTTAAAACTCGGAAGTGCGAAGCTGTACTTGTCGGAGCTCGACGGAAGTACGAAAGACGGAAGGTCTCGTTTGGCAAAATTAAGTGCGGGAATTCCCGGGAATTGGATTTGCCACGTCGGATCGTTCGAGTTTGCTGTAATTTCATCTCCGTAGCCGTTGAAGTAGTTGTTAGAATTTATTTCGTGCAGATATAAATTATTTGTGTCAGATTCAGTTTTTCGTTACTGTTGTGTTAAGTGTTGCAACAGTTCGTGAAGCAGTTCGTAAAAACAGAAATAAACGAGACACAAATTTTAATGTGGTTCGGATACAATTGTACCCTACATCCACGGGGACCTGCAAATAAAATTTACTAATTTTTAGTTTTACGAATACAATAATAGGACTTAATCAAAATACAAAGACTCCCTCTTTGTTGACGCCGTTCTTGTATACTACGCTGAATTATAAATCTTCAATTTGCAGCACGTCCCTTGCTCCGCACGGTTGAACTCCCTTCAACGCTGAATCCCTCAGTCGGCGGATCGATCTCCTCCCGAGATCTGTTTAAGCCCCTCTCCCGAAGAACCGATCTTCTTTTTATATAGAAGAAGCAAACTTGTGATACTCCTTGAATCTTGGTGTCTTCACCACAAAGCCTTGAAGCCGATATATTTTCTATGAAAATCACGTATCACGATGGAACAATAAAAAACGAGAGGAAAAATATTTTCTGTGAAAAACTTCTCCTTATCAAAGACGTTCCAGAAGCAGCAAAAATAAGAGCAGAAAAATATAATTTTTCTTCTCCAACAAAAGGCGTAGAGTATGAGGCGCCGTTCTGCTGTGTTTATACATCTACGGGTGATCAGAATCCTACAAGGAAAATAGAGTCCATTAGGGTTAGGAAACTCTTAATTACGTAGGAAACAATATTTTCAATACAAGGAAACTCTTTAGAACAATAATTCCTATTATAAATCAATTAATGACAAATTAAAAGAATTAAAAGCTACAAGGACTCTTCCCTTCTTTAGCTCACGGTATATGCAAACTTGTGGCACAAGTTTCCTTAATTCTCGTATAATTAGAATCCATGGGATTCTAACAATCTCCCCGTTTGTCGTTTATTGATTATAATCATTTTCTCTCATTGAGTAAAAAACCTAAAAATAAAGCAATCAGATGATTAGACGGAAACAAATAAAACTAAAGATCATCATCAACTCTTTCAACAAGAGTCGCATCAACTGCTGCAATAGTAAGTTCCACAGTTTCAGGAACTGTTCCCACAGTAGTGGCTTCGGCAGGTGGTTCACAATGGAGTCAGCTCCCCCTGCATGTGTATCTCCCTCTGTGAATGATCCTTAGGCAGCTCCTCTTGTAAATGCATTCATTCTTCCCCTTTGCTTACTCGGCTTGATAGACTTGGAAGGTGGTGGATGACAACGTGGTAAATTATCCACGTGATAAGAGACTCAGCAAATAACGTCGGCATTAGCTCCTCCTTTTATATTCTTGTGAAGCTCTGGAGAAATCAAACAAGGAAACCAATTAATGACAATTACCACAATAATAATAAAAAGATGGAATTCCTTCTATTTTGGATAGACACGTTCAGGTGATTAATATGGAGAGATAATTTTTTTCTTCTCAAATTATCTAATGAGATAACTAAGGAAAATATGTTCCTCATATTAATACACATCTCCATAGAATTCCACTTGGTGTTGTGGACTTTGAATCCCACCGAGATTCTAACACTCTCCCCCTTTGGCATTGATTGGTCAGAACATTTACTCCCCCTAAATATATGATATATATGCATGAACAAGAGTCAGCAAATTCAAAATAACGTCTGCAAATATAAACTGTTGCAACAGTTTATCAAACAGTTCAGAGAAAGTTAGTGGTTTGAACTCAACAAATAAAGAACAACAGAAAATATGCAGTAGCAGAATCAACTTCCCTTTACAATGAATTCATCCGTATTTGTCATGTATTTCTGCACTATTCCAACAACTGTATGATGCATTGTCTCAACAGCTGTCTGAACTCCCCCTGCATTCATGCACTGTTCCAGCAACTGTCTGATGCACTGTCGCAACAGTTGTCGGAACTCTCCCTGTGTTCATGCCATCGTTACTGTTCTTTTCTCCCCCTTTCTGGGCAATCACCATGCATAGATAACTCAACATGGACTAGTGATCTTGATGTGTCGAGCAATCTGTTCAAACACTTAACAAAAAAAATCAAACGAAAAGAGAATCTTGAAAGTAAGTGAGAAGAGTCACCATACACAACTTGCAAACAAAATCACAAACTCAAAAACTCAATACCACACGATAATTGCAATGCGAAAATCAAAGGATAGTGATATCAAATCCAACATTAAATAGCAAAGACTACAGATTTTGCCAAACTTCCTAAGAAACGTGGAAATGAGAGGAGTAAACTCAATAGATCCGGCTGCAACAAAAAATTAAATTTAACCGGCACATAAACAAAAATCCCGTCTCTCTCTCTCTCTCTTTTTTTTTTTTTTTTTTTTTTTTTTTTTTTTTTTAAATATGCCTAATGCAAGACAAGAAGTAAATATGAGAAATAAACATGAGTGAAGAGACATATGTGAATAGTATACTGCATGGACAAACAAAACATATGGGATTTATCTTCACATTCACGATAAGCGCAATCCCCAAAAATCTAACTGCCAATGCAACCAATAAACTTAATAATCCCAAGTCAAACACAAAGATGCTCTTATTAGGTAGCGTACACACACGTATAATGGTAGCTTTTTCCCATGAAATACAGAGCAATTAAAAGGAATGGGATTATGGTGGTCGTGCAATGTGTAGTCCCCTGGGCTTTCTAATTGAGCCTTGTAGTGAGTGTTCGGTCAAGTGGTTTACTGGCTCGACTCAACTAGGCTTCGAACTATTCACTGACCATATGTATAATTTATATTGGCCGTGCAATGTGTAGTCCCCTGGGCTTTCTAATTGAGCCGTGTAGCGAGCTTTCGGCCACGTGATTTACTGACTCGACTCAAAAAGGCTTCGAACTATTCACTGACCGAATGGTTGTAGATATATATATTAGTAACAGTAGTTCAAGAGTAGCTTTCACTCATTAAAAGAGGCAGCTTTTCCCTATAAAAACATCCAACCATGACAAGACTATTCAGAGAAATAAATAAGTTGGAGCCTTTTAAGTAATCATTTTGGGAATTGGTGAAGTTCTACCCCCACAAAGTTTAGAAGAACACGAAGTATCAAATTCACATTTGTCTCAATCATATGCAGTATGCTTAATGCAGTTCCTATATGAGATGCAAAAACATATGAAGTGTCCTACCACTAAAAGTTGCAAGTCTGGACACACAGACTGTTGCAACAGTTCATGCAACTGCATCAGATTAAACAACATAAATTCCCAGCGATTTTCGCAAGGAATCAAATCTCTGTGCATCAAGGGTTTTTGCAAAAGCATCAGTTAATTCATTCTCCGTTGCAACATAATCAATTGAGACAACCCCCTTTTCAACCAAGCCCCTTATGAAATGATGACAAATATCAGTAAGCTTAGTTCTTGAATGCTGAATAGGATTCATCGAATTATTTTTCGCACTCAAATTATCACAATTCAG